CAGAACTACTTAATTGTCTAGTCTTCCAAGTGAAGCTGTCACAGTTACCTCAGGCATTACCAGATAGCTACCCGAGGCAACAAAATACTCTCATTTATCCTACTATTTTTTTTTTAATCTTGTGGTAATAAATTACTAAAATCATCCATGGCCAAAGACATCTAGGAATCACTGATATTTACAGTAATGATACAGGTGAGGGAAACCTTAGTCTAGATTGAGGACGATTCTTTTTGAAAACAGTACCCTCACATGGCTCCTCCTATCAAAATTAAGGTGTTTTCACTTATCATTACTATTTGGAAAATAAATATCACCTAATTGTAAATATTACAAAATTTGTCTGAGTTTTTTAAAATAAAAATATCTGAGGTATCTGAATGATTTTAGAAGCTCAAGAAATAGGAGCCAAAGTTCTGGAAAAACTTAGACTACAGAAATCTCACACTGGCACTGAGCTTCTTCAAAATTCCACAATGAAAAACGAAACTATCCAAAACAAATGGAGCAACTCCAAAGCTGTGCCCACATGAAATGGCAAAATGGCGCATGCAGGCCTACTTCCAAATACTTCAGTCAAGAAAGGCTGTTCTTACAAGAAGGGATGGTTTGAGGCATAAAATAATCCATATTTCGCCAATATTTCCCAGGCTGTCTGTTGGGCACAGATGAAAACAAATAATATTCAGCCCCTGTTCTTGAAGAGCTTATAGTCTAGAGGAAAACCATATAAGCATCATGGCCCTACCTGACTTTGTCAGAATAAAGATAGTCAAGGAGATGATACTGTTTGATAGATTTGCAGAATAAAAAGGATGCACACACAGAGAAAGAGAGAGAGAGAGAGGAGAGAAAGAAATAACTCCAAATTAGAGTTCTAACTTCTACTGGAAATTCTCATTTGGAGGCTTTGGTACAGAGCTGGTGTAAATAAACACTTGACTGAAAACAGAGGGCCCCTTGCCTCTGAAGTTCTTCCGCTTGTGTTTTCCGGTGCTAAACACTAAAACCTATTCCATCAGGGAGCAGGAAGAAATAACGATCCCTCTGGAAAGAATCACAGGCAGGTTTTCTTTAAGGACAATGAAAACAGCATTTTAGAGCCCCCAAAATATAATATAAGTGACTGTTTTAGGGAGGAAGGGGGTTCCCCTCGTGCCAGGCATGGCACCGGATGTCTTAGCTACAATGTCTAATTCATTGCTTACATCAGTCTCATGAGGATGTTTGTGTTCTCACTTTACGAAGGACAAATGGAGTTTCAAAGAGGTGAAATAACAGAGCTATAAGAAGCCGAGCTGGGATCCAAATTTAAAGGACTATATGACTTCCAATCCACATGCTTCCCAGAGGATCACACTGAACAGAACATGGAAAATGCTAAGTTCCACTTTGTCTTTTGTGCTGACTCCTGAAAATTCAACCAAAGAGGCACGGAAAGAACGAGATAAATGGCTCTAACAAATTCTGGGACATGTTCTCATTGCTCTCCTTCCCTGCTCATGCCTCTTTAAAGCTTGTCCCAGAAGGTTTGGAAGCGTTAGAGGGTCCTTTTTGACTTCCAGCCACTCCAACTACACTCTCAGTCCAGAAAGAGATTCAAGAGGGAAAATGGACACTGTGTAATAGAAAGTATAATGGGAGCTGGGCAACTGTGCTGAGCAGGAGTGGGAGGATGTCACATTGTGAGACTTCCATTTTAGAAGTTTCGCTGTGAGGAAGATGGAGCTCGTCAGAGGGTGGTGGTGGTGGTGGTTGTTGTTGCTCTTCTTCTCTTTCTCCTCCTTCTCCTCCTCCTCCTCCTCCTTCTTCTTCTTCTTCTTCTTCTTCTTCTTCTTCTTCTTCTTCTTCTTCCTCTTCCTCTTCCTCTTCCTCTCCTCTTCCTCTCCTCCTCCTCCTCCTCCTCCTCCTCCTCTCCTCTTCCTCCTCCCCCTCCCTCTCCTTCTCCTTCTTATTCTTCTTTGAGACAAGGTCTTACTTTGTGACCCACGGTGGAGTACAGTGGTGCAATCTCAGCTCACTGCAGCCTCGACCTCCCAGGCTCAAGCAATCCTCCTGCTTCAGCCCCTTAAGTAGCTGGGACTACAGACAAGCACTACCACACCCAGCTAATTTTTGTATTTTTCGTAGAGATAGGGTCTTGCTATGTTGCCCAGGCTGGTCGGTCTGGAACTCCTGATCTCAAGTCATCCACGTGCCTCGGCCTACCAAAGCGCTGGGGTTACAAGTGTGAGCCACTGTGCCCAGTCTTGGTCAGAGGATTTTTAAATTTAATTTAAATTTATTTTGGATGGAATCTCACTCTGTCACCCAGGCTGGAGTGCAGTAGCATGATCTTGGCTGACTGCTACCTCCACCTCCTGGGTTCAAGTGATTCTCCTGCCTCAGCATCCTAAGTAGCTAAGACTACAGGTGTGTGCCACCATGCCCAGCTAATTTTTTGTAGTTTTAGTAGAGACGGGGTTTCACCAAGTTGGCCAGGCTGGTCTCAAACTCCTGACCTCAGGTGATCCACCCACCTCAGCCTCCCAAGGTCAGAGGACTATTAAAGCTTACACGCAGGGAGACCATGTAGACATCAAAAGTAGAAACTGAAGTAGAAAAGATGGGGTCCCGAGCATACAGTGGCAGTGGTCTAGCGGGGAAGGAATAAAGAAATCTCACTGATGCAGCCTCAATAAGACCTGCTGACCAGCTGGAGATGGTGAGGGAGAGGAAGGAGTGCCAGTCAAGTCTCAGTTTTCTGACCAGGGCGATGAGGCCAATGGTGGTACCATTCTTAGAGCCTGGGGAGAAAGGAGGAATAGTGGGTTTTGGGGGAGAGATGAAGGCTGTAGTTTTGAAGTAGTCTGAGCTCTCCAGATGGAAATGTCCCATGGGCACTTAGATCAATAGGTTTGCTCATTCTTTGATTCTACAAATATTTGTGGACTTCCCATTCTGCTCCAGATGTTGAGTTTGGCATCAACTGAGGAGTGATGGCCAAAACAGATGTATTCTCTGCCTTCATGAAGCTTTACAGGCAATAAATAAACACAGAAATACACACATAGTTACAAATTACAATAAGTGTGAGGCAGAAAAGAATAAGGTGCTAGGAGAAGAAGAATCAGCCTGCAAGTATGAGACCTGACAGTGGAAACTGGAAGTCGGCCGAGTGGGATGAGAAGGTGCTGGAGCTCAGAGGAGGCAGTGTCTAGCCACAGCAGGGAGAGGGGCTCATCTGCATGGAGGTGGGAGCAGGAGATGACATGAGAGAGCTGAGCTGCTGGACAGCTGCACTACTGGACAGGCTGTCGGGGCTGGGGGTGAAGAGCTAGACACCCCATAGCTGAGGCCAATGGTTTCCATTCTCTCAACTCTTAGCATTTATACCCAGAGACAGCAAAGTTTCGGTGTGTCTGAACGATTATTTTTTGGCTATGGGCATCTTACCACTTCTCCATTTTGGGCATGTTTGCACGTGAAAATATGCACAAGGTACTGACTGATTTGTTGTGGATGGCGGGAGACCTGAGTAATTTAAGGAGTTAATTTCCTGATTAAGTTAACTCCAGACTGGATTGAAATATTGGTGTTAAATTGGGATTCTTAAAGAAAAAGAAGAAGTAGCCTGGCATGGTTGCTCACTCCTATCCCAGCACTTTGGGAGGCTGAGGCAGGAGGATTACTAGAGCCCAGGGTTTGGAACCAGCCTGGGCAACATGGTGAAACCCTGTCTCTACAAAAAAAATGCAAATATTAGCTGAGTGTGATGGGGCGTGACTGTAGTCCCAGCTACTTAGGGGGCTGAGGAATGAGAATCACCTGAGCCGGGAGGCAGAGGTTGCAGTGAGCAGAGATCATGCCACTGCACTCTATCTAGCCTGGGTGACAGAGTGAGACTCTGTCTCAGAAAAAAAAAAGGAAAAGAAAAAAAGAAACAGCAATCTCCATGTAGCCTATGTTCCATCCTTTTCCCTTAACTGAAAGCCAAGAGACATGGTTTTGTAAGAGAGCCCAATTCAGCCCCAATGCATCTGGCAGAAAACAGAGCATCCAACGAGCTTTTCAAAACCACTTGGCACCAAGTAACAGAAAGGAAAACTGTAGGAGCCCAAGTTGGGAGTTGTTCAGCTACATGCAGAGCATATCTACAACAACAATAATAAAATTTAACATTTATTGAGCACCTACTATGTACTGGGCACTGTTCAATTTATTTAATTTTCAAACAACCCTATGTAGGATTTACTCTTTGTATCCCTATTTTGCAGATGCCTTTCCCAAGGATCCCCAGCTTTTAATTAGAAGAGCCTAGATTTGAACCTAGGCAGTCGGGATCACAGAGCCTGCTCTCTTAACCACTCTTTCTGATAAATGGGTCACACCTACAGTACTTAAGAGTAAATGGGTCTGTATGGAGGAGGGGCCTGATTCATCAGGCACTGTGGGGAGAGGATCTATGAACCCGTTGCTAAAGGAAGTGGGGAGGCAGAGAGGAGGACTCCAGGCAGTCTCCGGGTCCTCTCCCAGTTCCTTCCTTCCCCATGAGGATTCGGCTTCAAAGAACAGTCACACTGCCTCCCCCTGGGCAATCAAGCCCCTTGCACACCCGAGAGGCCCACTTGTGGCTGAATAGGTGCTTCTGGTTCTCCCGGGTCCCAGGTCAGCCAGGATGAAAGAAGATGAAGATAACTCCCATGCGAGGCGGTGGCGTCCTCCAAGACTGCCTTCTTGAGGAAGCCACTTTCACTGCAGAGGCCCTTACCCCTCTGGAATTTGCAGACCCACTTATCTGACAGGCCAGTTTTATCCTAAACAGAACCAGCCCTGTAAAAACCCATTTCAAGGACCCCCACACAGGTCTAAGATACCCACTCAGGGTGCAAAGTTCCCACCGGACCACTCTGGCAAGTTTTAGGAAGTGAGTCCTTTCTACCCCCATCATCCTCCCCATTTGGACACTTGCCCCACCCTGGAGGCAGTACCCACCCACCACAAGGCAAGGCATTTCTTACCTTTCCACCTGGAGGTTGACTTTGGAAGGCTCCACATTGGGGTTTTCCCATTCCATTTGCGGGCAGTGCATGAAATAGCAAAGGGTGTACAGGGCCTCTGGCTCCCAGTACAGCGCCCCCTGCTTGTGGTGCAGGGGGGTGCCATTGCCGTGGTGCTTGGCATTGAGGGGCTGCAGGTGATGCATTGCACGGGACACCAGGTCACCTGTGGACAGAAGGAAGATTTCAGATCCTCCAGACAGCCAACACTGGCAGAGAAACTGTACCTGAAGATCTCTGTAGAGACTCTGGTCCTTGCAGTCCCTTACTTAAATGAAATAGTCCATGAGACCTTGAAGTTACATACCAAGCAGAGAGGAATGGATTCATTTATTTGGCATAGGAGGGTTTACTGAATCTGGGGTGCTGTTTCAAGCACAGAGGGCTGCTAAGATCATTTTAACCCTGCCTTTCTGGAACCCAATGTTTCTAACAAGGCGCAGGAAGCTCTTTGAGTCCCATTCCTGAGTACTGCCTCCCTTGCCTTGTGACACACCCTCTATGTTGTGGCCAACACTGCTTTAACGGTAGTCATAAGAATGGGCTATGCTCTCTCTTGCCCCTGAGCCTTGTGCATATGCTATTCCCTCTGCCCAGAACATTCTCTCCCTCTTCTTCTCCAGGCTAACTCCTACTGATCATCCAGGTATCTGCTTATAAATTAATTCCTCTAGGAAACCCCCTCTGGAGTCACCCCTGCCTTGACTTGGTTATCACACTGTACTTTTCTTTTTTTTTCCTTTTTTTTTGTTTTTGAGATGGAGTCTCTGTTGCCCAGGCTGGAGTGCAGTGGCATGATCTCCACTCACTGTAACTTCTGCCTCCCGGGTTCAATCGATTCTCCTGCCACAGCCTCTTGAGTAGCTGGGACTACAGGTGCCTGCCACCACAACCGGTTCATTTTCGTAATTTTAGTAGAGATGGTGTTTCACCATGTTGGCCAGGCTGCTCTCGAACTCTTAACCTCAGGTGATCTGCCCGCCTCTGCCTCCCAAAGTGCTGGGATTACAGGCATGAGCCACCATGCTTGGCCCTATAAAAGTAAATTTGATGACAACAAAACAGTGTACAGTTCACCCTTGAACAACGCAGGCTGGAACTCCGTGGATCCACTTATATATGCATTTTCTTCCACCTCGGCCACCCATGATACAACAAGACCAACCCCTCCTCTTCCTTCTCCTCCTGGGCCTACTCAACATGAAGACGACAAGGATGATGACCTTTATGATGATCCACTTCCACTTCATTAATAGCAAATATATTTTCTCTTCCTTATGGTTTCCTTAATAATTTTTTCTTTTCTCAAGCTTATATATTGTAAGAATATCATATATAAGAATATAACATAAAATATATGTTAGTGGGCTGTTTATGTTATCAGTAAGGCTTCTGGTCAACAGTGGGATATTAGTAGTAAGTTTTTGGGGAGTCAAAAGTCACACAGAGAGTTTTGACTTCACGGGGGTTCAGTGCCCTTAAGTCCCACATTGTTCAAGGATCAAATGTAATTAATTTCTAGCTGAATTCTGGCCCTGTTTTCCTTTTTATAAATAACAGGTGTTAGAGAAGTGTTAAGGGCTCATATCAAATGGAGCCTTTCTTTTTAAAGTAATTAATATTCAAATGAATTTAAAATAATCACTCTATAATCAATATTATTTAATGCACTGGCCCTGTCCCACTTATGATCCTCTCATGCACATCAGAATCTGTTGCATACCTTAGGAGACAGTTGACTAAGATATCTGTGATGCTTAATTTTTTTTTTTTTTTGAGACAGAGTCTTGCTCTGTTGCCCAGACTGGGGTGCAGTGGCGTGATCTCGGCTCACTGCAACCCCTGCCTCCTGAGTTCAAGCGATTCTCCTGCCTCAGTCTCCTGAGTAGCTGGAATTACAGGCATGCACCACCACTCCCGGCTAATTTTTTTGTATTTTTAGTAGAGATGAGGTTTCACCATGTTGGCCAGGCTGGCCTCGAACTCCAGACCTCAGGTGATCCACCTGCCTTGGCCTCCCAAAGTACTGGCATTACAGGCGTGAGCCACCAGCGCCTGGCCGGTGATGGTAAATTTTATGTGTCAACTTGGCCAGGTCATGGTACCCAGTTCTTTGATCAAACACTAGTCTAGATGTTGCTCTAAAGAAGCTTTTTTTTTTCCTTTCCAACTTTTATTTTAGGTTCGGGGGTACACACGTAGGTTTGTAACATGAGTAAACTGCATGTCACAGGGGTGTGCAGATTATTTTGTCACCAGGTAAACAGCATAGTACCAGACAGGTAGTTTTTCAATTTTCATGCCCCCTCATCCCCTACCCTCAGGTAGGCCCTAGAGTCTATTGTTCCCTTATGAAGGTATTTTTTAGATGTGGTTAACATTTAAATCAATAGACTTTGAGAAAAGCAGATTACCTTCCACAATGTGGGTGGGCCTCATCCAATTAATTGAAGGCCTTAAGAGAAAAGACTGAAGTTCCCCGAAAGGGAAAGCATTCTGCCTCCAGACTGCAACATCTTCTACTAGAATCTCCAGCCTGCTGGCCTGCACTGCAAAATTTTGGACTTGCCAGCTCCCATAATCACATAAGCCAATTCCTTAAAATAAATGACTTTCTTAGTCTTTCTCTCTACAGAGAAAGAGAGAGAGAGAGAAATCCTGTTGGTTCTGTTTCTCTGGAGAATGCTGACTAATACAATATCTGACATGATGCTAGCCCCTGTTGGGGGGATGTGTCTTCCCCATTACCTCTCATTGTTCAGCTGAAACCAGGCCTTTTTATCTCACCCCTTCTCCACCATTCTGCTGTACATTTCAACGTGACACATTTACCTAACATCCAAACTCGAGTAAGTGAGGCAAAGTGAGAGGCAGGAGTTGCTCTTCCAAAGGCTTAGGACTCATCTCCTGGCTTCCTGTTTCCTGCCTGAGGGAGGGGCCACTACTTCAAAAGATGACTGACAAGAGGACTGTTCACCAGCTTTAGGGGGGTTGACTATGGGAATGAGGTTCACAGAGCTCTTGATTGATTGACTACAGATGCAGCCTTAAAGTCCTTCTCAAGACAAGATTCCAAGCAGCTACTATTTTTTTCTCTTTTTTTTTTAAGAGACAATCTGTCACCCAGGCTGGAGTACAGCAGGGTGACCATAGCTCACTGCAGCCTGAGCTCAAGTGATCCTCCCACCGAAGCCTCCCAAGTAGCTGGAACTACAGTCACAAGCCACCATGTCTGGCTATTTTTTAATTTTTAATTTTTAATTTTTTGTAGTGGAGATGGAGTCTTGCTTTTGTACCCAGCCTAGTCTTGAACTTCTGGCCTCAAGTGATTCTCCTGCCTCAGCCTCCCAAAGTACTGGGATTATAGGAGTGAGCCACAAGCAGCTCCTATTTCTAATAGGAGTTGTCAAAACAATGGAAAGCTCTATGTTGTCCTAAGGCTTTGTTAGGACAGCCTAACTAGACTATAATCCACTGAGCTCAGTGCCTGGCCAACAGATCAGGGCCTTGAGCAGATGGCAGCAGGGGGTATGATGGTTAATTTTAGGAGTCAACTTGACTGGATTAAGGGATACCTAGATAGCTGGTAATACATTATTTCTGGGTGTGTCTGTGAGAGTGTTTTCAGAAGAAACTGGCATTTGAGTCAGTGGGCTGAGTGAGGAAGACCTGGCCTCACCCAATGTGGGCAGGCACCATCCAAGTGGCCAAGACCTGGATAGAACAAAAAGGCACAGGAAAGGTAAATTTTTTTTTTCTCTCTCTCTCTCCTGGAGCTGGAACACTATTCTCTTGCCCTTCCACCTCCTGCCATATGAGGACATGGCAACAAGCCACCATCTTGGAGGCAAAGAGAGCCAGACCACTTGACCTTGACCTGGCTGGCATCTTGATCTTGAACTTCCCAGCCTCCAGAACTATGAGAAAATACATTTCTGTTCTTTATAAATCTTCCAGTCTCAGAAGTTTTGTTAGAGCAGCACGAATAGACTAACGCAGGGGGTTACATCCTTACATCTGTCTGCATCTTCACATACCCAGGCCTGAGCCTGCCTCTCCATTCTCCATTTCCCACAGCTGGAAAATTCATCCAAGAAAAATTTTAAAAGCATCAAGGAAGGACATTCTTTTTTAGAGGCAGATCACAGGGAAGACACAAGGGCAGCTGCAGATGGAAAACGTGGGGAACTACTGCTGAAAGTTAGGTAGGGGTCACAGGAAAGAGTTCAAATCTCAGCTCTAGCCTGTGTAAACACAGGTGAGTCACTTAACCTCTCAGGTGAGGAATAATCTTCACCTCTCAGGTGGTTATGAGGGTTAAGTGCAAAATGTGCAAATGCCTGGCACACTTGGCATTGAATAAGCAGTTCTCCTGGGCTCATGGCCTGCCTGCTCTTCCTCCTTTCTGAGTGGTGAGACCAGGATGCTGGGTACATGGGACAGAGAGGGATAGTCCTGCCAGCACCCTGAATCCTGAGCACCTGATATGCTGCTTCATGCTGGGGTTGACTTTTTAGGACTCTACACTGCAAAGCTGCTCACCCCTGGGGTCCCTTTGGGCACTGAGATCCCTAGTTGCTACTGCTTCCTTTTTCTCTCCATTCTCATCTTTTAGAGATTGCACGCCCTGGGAGGAAGAAAAAAAAGGAAGTTAAGCTGGGTGCCTGCCTCCAGACATTCACATCACTGTAGCCTAGTAAGGGGAAGCTCCAACCACTGGTCAGAATAAGAGCTGCCAATCAGTGAAAGCTGGGGAGGGATCTAGAAGAAAACTCAAAGACAGAGGCCTGGGGTGGGATCAGGCACTGTGACAATGTTTTTGATTTTCCGATGAGGACAGTGACCTAGAGTAGAGGAAAAGGAGACAGCAGAGGTAGAAGCCCCAATAGGCTGAGCACTCACCACGTCTCCGGGCATTTAGTCACGTTTTCTGATTTGATTTGTATAAGAGCCACACGAGGGGGGAATTATTATATCAATTTCAGAGATGGGAAAATTGAGGGGGGAGGCAACTAGCCCAGGCGTCACTCAGCAAGTGGCAGACTGTGACTCCAACCTGGAGTTGCACATACAACGTTGGCTTGTGTTGTCACTACAACACAGTGCCTCCAAAAAGCCACAAATCTAGAACCCACCTTTGGGTGGGGCCCTTAAAAATTCTGATGA